AGCAGAAGACTTAACTACCTATTTTGGTCAAAACAGTTGAAAAAAAAAAAAAAAAAAGCCCATATTCGACACCATCACTGTTGAATAAGATTGATTGTCGATGATAGTCGATTTTTTGTGCATAATCGACAGGAAATTTATTCGACAATTATTCTGTCGAATATATGGTTTTATTCGACAGCCAACAGGCTGTCGATTATGTTTGTTATATATTTGACAGCATTGTTGTCGAATATATGAGAAACGTCGTCGTTTCCCCTTTATATTCAACAGCAATGCTGTCGAATATACTTGACTTAAACCCCCAGTCCGCCCATCTTTCCCCCATTTCTTCTTCTTCCCCTGTGGCAGATCTAGTTCATCTTCTCTGGCCCTGTTCTTGCCGGTGCCGCCAGATTTTGGCTTCTTGCCATTAAGCCCTCTGCTATGTGACCTCTAAGCCGGTGAGTTGGCCCTTCTCTGCGCAGATCTGGAGCTATTTTTTTTTTTCCTTTGATTTACATTTGGGCATTTGCAGATTTCTTTGTAGATCTGTGCATTTTGGTGCAAGATCCATCACCTCTAAGCCTCCACGTGCCTTCATCCTGCCTTTTGTAAGTTGCAGCACTCTCTGTTTTTTTGTTTTTCATTTTTTTTTTGTTTCTTTCTTTATTTTTTCCTTGATTTTAGTTTACAAAACTTTAATTTCGTTTTTGGTATGTTAAAATCTAGCTTTTACTACCTTCATTGCCTCCACAGCATTACGGTCCTCGTTGACAAAGGTAATTGATATTTTTGTGATTTTTTTATACTAAATTTTATTGTTTTATTTGTAGATTAGTGTAGATTATTATTATTATTGTATAAATTATCAATAAATTTATCAATAAATTACTATTATTTCTTTCAAATGTTTGAGATTGAAATTCGTACGTTAATTACTTACTTGAATATTTTTTTTTAGTAAATTTTTATATACAAGGTTATAGATTTTAGATTATTAAATTTGAAATTAAGATTAAGATTGAGGTTTAAATATCTTGAAATAGAGTAATATTTATATTGAATTCTATAGTTACAAATTTGTTATTTATTTCAAATTAGCTCAATTTAAGAGATTGATATTGAGATTGAGATATACATTATTATTGAATTAAAATGGTTTTTAGTTTGAATTTTTATATATCAAATTATTAAGATTAAAATCGATATGGTAATTAAACTATAGTACTATTTAGATTTAATATATATATGGTTAAATACCCTTTTTGGTCCCTCTACTATAGGAAAAAGCCCCTTTTTGGTCTTTGTACCGAAAAAATCCCTTTTTTGGTCCTTACTGTTCACAAATCCGGCCCCTTTTTGGTCCCTCCGTTAATTTTTGCTCACGTGGCACATTAACTTAACGGGAACAGCTGATGTGGACTTAATGATACCCTCCAC